AACTAGTAACACTCTAACGGTTATAAGGCTCTTCTGATTTAAATTGTAAAATGTTCAATGAAAGTATAATACCATATTTGCAGATGGATATTTTCTTATTTATTTAAATTGCTATACAGTCTTGAAGTCAGGAAATTTATTTTTAAATGTATAATTATTAATAACTTAATGCTGTTCATATTTTCTCTCTGATCATTCTAAATATTTGCTCATACATTTATTAGGAATAAAAAATCATTTGAAATTTACATTGAATTGAATATAAAAAAAATTGGGTGTTGCACTTTTTGCTAAAGACTTTTTATATATAAAACATAACCTATTCTATGCATCACCATATATGGTATCTGTAGTGGTATAATGTACTTGCTGGTACTTCCTACTGTAGCGGTTTCTGTCACATTGGCAACTCAGTAGCACAGGCAACTCTATTGTATTGAAAATCTTTTGTCTTTGCCTTTGACTGCAGTGATAATAGTGTTCAGGTGGACGGTTTGTAACTAGCAACGTCTAAACATAATAATCGTCCTTAGATGTAAAACCTTATACTAGGACTTGCCTAATAACTTTTTATTTTGAATATTAAGTAAAATTATTTTATAAAAAGTAAAATAAAATTTGTCTCATAACACTTGTTAGATATATTTACACCCATACTGTTCTAACAAGGTGGTAAACACACATGAAATGTGGTGGTAGTGATCGATTTCGATTGGACAATGCAATTATCAACAAACCCCAAAAGCGAATGACTTTATAAAACAGTACAAGTAGTGTAAATATATGTTTTAAGTTATAAATAAGTGTTATAATATGTTTTTTATTGCTTTCTGTATTATAAAGATGAATTATTCTATATTTCAACAACTCATAGGTTCATTCACAAAACAAACCTCTCTATTGCTTTACATAACTTTAGAAAAATGCTTTTTATTTTACTAACTTAGTAAAACTAAGTAAAAATACGCCTAATTTTATCAGTATCCAGTTTAATAGGCTTAGAAAGTAATTTTTATGCCACCAAATGTTAATGATCTCATTTATTAAAATATTTTAATCGTAACATACAAAGTATCTCCTACTTATTTTATAATCTGAAAGACCGTCCTTTAAAATGCGAGATTAATATTAGTTTCATTGTATATTTCCTCATTCATCCTCTTATTTAATTACCTAAGATACGATTTGGTTTGTAGCTTAACATTTTAATCCTTTACAACATGTCAAACCCTACACGAAATAAAGCGAGATGGGAACATCATTTGTAAACATAAACATCATAAGTTAAGTTAAAATGGTAAATTAAGATTGGAGTCGTATGAAATTTACGGTTGTACAACTTTTCAACGAAATTGTGTATGATAACACATGACATAGTAAGGTACTCAAGCATGTGGAAAGATGACGTAGACATGTTCAAGTCTTTGAGACCGTTAAAACTTCAACTGCTTTACTTTGAAGATTTCACCAACATAGCTAGAACTCTCTAGTTTACGTTGGTTTACATGAAATCTTATCTAAGGTTATATTAATTTATATGTTTAGCTAACAAGATATTAAATGGCGATTAATAAACACATTTATAGAGTTTAGTTGAAATTCACTCCGTTAAATGTATCTTTGAAAACATGTGCTACTGAATAGATTACCTATTATTTTATGTTTGTGATTTTCTTTCATAAACATCCTTGCGGTATCGAAGATTTTAAAATGTTTTTGGGAGAATATAGGCTTTGAGGATCCTGAGTAACCGTTGAAGATTTCTATACACGTTTTGTATATTAGACAGTACTTTTCTCAGGTGAGGGACTTGTATCTTTTTTCCTATTCATACGCATTCGGTTGGCGCAATACTTAGGAACTAGAATATTCTACTTTGACTCAACCCTTATTAAAACTTATACTCAATGCTTATTTATACAGTCCAATAACTATTTTTTGAGTTTTTTTTTCTCATTGAGCATATAGAATTATATTGAATTTAAGATGCACCAAGTAACGTGGAAGAGCTCTTTGTTTAAGGTGTTTTTGTAAACATATTATTTTACCTATGTACCTATTATACAGGGTGACAAAAAAGTCTGGAAACGGTTTAATATCTTTTTAACTAAATCCGTTAGAAAATTCAAACCTTTCACATCAACTTACATGTATGAAAACTACTTTTTCCAAGCATTGTAATTTTTTTACCTCTACCAGGGGACGACCCATGATGAGTAGGTACATAATCTTTAATGTAAGCATAGGTTGATATGCACACCATTTTAAAGGGTTAGTCAAGTGGAGTTCATTGCCGGAAACCGCGTCCAAAAAGGTTCATCCGTTACAAAATGGCAGCTGTCCAAAGTTCTTTTGAAATATACCTGCACAGGCCTTAGTATGGGCAAATACTCGTATTAAACATTAGCTTGAGAGCTTAAACTGTTTTTTTAAAGTCAACTAGTTCATAGACTAATAGTATTCAATCATCAAAACAAATTTAACCGGGTTTCAGATTTCCCTGCTAATGTTGACTATGAGTATTTACCAATACTAAGGCCTCTGCAGGTATATTCCGCAAGAACTTTGAACTGCCGCCATTTTGTAACGGATGAACCTTTTTTGACGCGGTTTCCGGTAATGAACTCCACTTAACCAGGCCTTTAAAATGATGTGCATATCAACCAATGCTTACATTAAAGATTATGTACCTACTCCTCGGACGCCGTCCCCTGGTGAAGGTCAAATAATGGCAATGATTGCAAAAAGTAGTTTTCATACATATAAGTTGATGTGAAAGATTTGAATTTTCTAACGAATTTAGTTAAAAAGATATTAAACCGTTTCCAGACTTTTTTGTCACCCTGTATAATAAATGTATAAAGATTGCGCACCACGCTATTTCTTATGACACGAAAAGTGGTTTAGAAGGTGGTTTCTAAGGAGTCTCGTAGGTTAGCAACACATCAGCGTTCGTGATGATGGATGAGGGTATGGCAAACACATTTCTATATTTAGATTAAGTGGAAACTCACTTAAGGAGGGTGTATTCTAATCTTTAGTACGGGTAACAAAATCTTCTGAGTCTAACAAAAAAAAACACTTAAATAAAATAAAAGATTGCAATACAATTATTCCTTGAATAAAATATTGGCTGTTTTATAATAAATAAACTTAAAAATGCAACCAATTAATATCCTTATTTATACTTTGGTGCAGTAAGTTAATTTTTCCGACTTACCTTGTATACAAGTATGATATGGATAAAATATAGCTTCGGAAAGATGTCAATATTGTGTGTTATAGTAAAAAATTCTATTGCTTTAATACATACTGAAGTTAATATTACATTGAGATTATATTATAATATGCAAACTTTTATGATATTGAAAAAATAGCTCATTATACGACGGATTTAGATGTAAAATAATGACCCACGTTAAATGAATGTTTACGAAATAAGTAAACGGGACTAACTTTTAATCTAGTCAAGATTTTTTAGTTGGCTATATCTTATGGTGAGGGTTCACGTACATTACTTATCATATATACCATGAGCCTTATTTCATTGGTGTGGTATGGTAATGATAACCACGTCTAAGTTTTAAGATATATACAGGCTATCTGGTATGAATCTAATAATATTCTTTAAATTTATACTTGTATCTGCAATTCTAAATCGTATTATCTATAAAGAATATTATTTTTATTATGACTAGAACAAAAATCTTCATTACATACTAATAACTTATTGCTTCCGAAACATTTCGAACGTGATAACTTCATCAACTACAATTGTATAACAAAGAACCTTCAAGCAACAACCCAAAACCAGCAACAACAACCACTGTATTGCTAATACAGTTAAGAGGGACATTGAAAGCCTAAACCAATATGCTGGGGTCTAGGGTACAAATTGAATTAGACCAAAATGTGTTATATTGTGTTATATTGGTGATAATATAACTTTGTAACCCATTGTTTATCATCCTCATTAAATGTCGTAGTGTTAAACTGAAAGACAATACGTACATCACATTTTTAACAATTAAACCTTAATAATTAAGGATTTATGTTGGTTTCACGAGAGCTTAAACTATTAGTTTAAGACAATGACCAATGTATAAAAATATCGAAAACTATTAGTTACGAAATTATAATTTTTTAAAGCTCTTAGACTAGAGAAAAATCACTCATATAATATAAAGTAAATATTTACATGATACATTGATTAATAAAATCGTCTAAGTAAACATCATCGGTTTGTTGATTATTTAAAAAGGTGGACTAAGTTTGAATATTTTAAAGTACCTACTATATTAAAGTATACTATATAGAATCATATGTTATCAAAAATTTAATAGAACTTTATATTAGGCTTCATATAAAACTCTATAGAAAACCATTTTCCCGGGTTTTGATTATAATGGATAAAAAATAAATTTCAAACAAAATTTAGTAAAAATATAATTTATAAAAAAACCGCTAGACCTTTCAGGATTCAGTAATTATTCTGAAAAATTCTTAGAGTGAATTTCCACTCCAAGCTTGGAAAAAAATGTTACCAATCCATTCGATTGAAATTTCGATTGATTGGAAAGCAAGAGAGAATTTCAGTCGAAAAAGAGTGGAAAAAAAGAAAAAAATAAAATTTTATCCATCTTGTTTGAAACAGAAAACCAACGGTTATATATTTTTTTTAATTTTATTAGCAATATTACCTTCAAAAAGCGGAGATTTACAAAACATTATAAATTTTATTTCATTCTTAGTTTCTAAGAAGTAATAAAGTATCAACTCAAATAATAATGCTAAGTAGAAAACTTCTTGAAAATACACATGATCGAAACAAAAAAATTAGATTCAATACATTATATACACATATCTCCTCGCGTATACAATATAGTAGACGTTCGAATCTTAATACAAACAGAATAAGATACCTGATAATAAAGAACAGAGATAATCATTATCGCTATTTTGGGTATAATATAAAAAGATGATATCGGAACATACTTTGGACAGATTAATACAATACTTTGGTCTGACGTTCATTCTTTGTGAAGTTTGTGGTAAGAGATCAGCTTTTGCGTCTTCATAAAAATTTCACCAGTGTAAGTATTTTATTAAAATTGAACATCTGAATAAAAATTTAATATTGCAATCAGATTTTTGGATTGAATTTACTTTTTTTCAGTTAATATAAGTACTATCAGTATGAAAATTCACCAATTCGCTGTCTTGATCTTGGCGATTCTAATCGCTATGGCTTCAGCGATGCCAAAAGAAGGGGAACATTCATACGCATCTCTTGGATTCAGCGGACGTGATGTTGAGAAGAACGTACTGTTTGTCGGAAAAACTATCGAGCGCGCTGGACAAAATACGAAAAGAGCTGCTGAAAAAGTTGGCAAGGAGGTTCGTAGAGCCTGGAGAAGAATCTTTGGATAGAAATTAATACCTATATTTTAAATTCATCCAAATGTATAATTTCCTTATCAAATATTAACTTTTAAACATTGGAGATTTTGTTTATTTATCTACCTTGTATACCTCATTCATTCTTTTAGCTCAGAGATTTTATATAATTTTGTCATAAAACCTATTGAAATAAAAAACATTTCTTGTTATATTTTTCTCGAAAGAAGAATTCACTTCCAGATACTCATGTAATCGCTCATAGAGCGGGGATGACTTGGGCCAATTACTTTTATCTTTGACTTTTAATTTAGAGTTATCGCACAAGTTGGCCGATTGTTTCGAGTGAATAATAATTCATGTAGGCTTCAATTTAGTCATATTTGAACAACTGATTATAGCAAAATATCAAATTTTATCTATGATATGAATAATTTTGTAAAATATCAAACTGTAGTTCTTTTTGTATTATCCAGATCTAATATCCCATTTATACTCTAGTTAAACGAAAGTTCTCATTGTTGCACACCCCTCTTTCTTGATAAATACTTGGGTGTATTATTTAAAAAACCATTAGGGGATTAAAGTTTGATCAAAAAAAGAATTCAATTTTTTCAGTTTTTTAATACGTGCCTTTGATAAAAAAATAATTGAAAATGTTTTATTTCGAGATTAGAAGAAGAAAATTCACCATAATTTTGTCTTATAATTCCGACCTGTCGCTGGTTGATCGGGTGTGACTCCGGGTCCATGCCATTTTATCGGAATATCGTGAATCCGACTCCGAGTGGCGGAATTAGACTCCAGCCGATGAACGAGACAGTCGAGGCGAGCCCGGCCAATCCGTATGACATTATTAAAATTAAATTATCATTATTAAATAGTACCGGAGCCAGGTGATGGTGGCGCTGCTGTCGTCGGCGCTCACCCCAATAAATCTTCGATGCTCCTCGCCGTCCTCCTCCGCACACCTGCTGGACCACCGGCGTCATTCAAGAGAACCTCACAGTCTGTTTTAGTAGTCAGTCAGACCAGCTTGAGCCTTTGCTCTATAGGAAAAGACGCATGTGGCTGTATGAAATGTTGCTCCTGATGATAGTTACCAATCTGTGGGGAAAACGTGAAAAATCAGCATACAGGCTTTTATTCATAAATTCTATATCTTTAAATATTGGCAGGGCTTCTAAATGATCAACCGTGAGCTTTTTTGAGATATAACCACTCAAGATACTGAGAATTATTTTTTTCGTACAGGATGAACTTTTTATATTCTCAAAAGCTTTTGATTAGATGCTCGATTAGATGTAACTAACAAAATATGAATGGGATAGTCCTATTTGAGTGATTTATTATTATTCTCCTGCTCCTAAACGTTGCTAATTAAAAAAAAAAACTTTGTTATTTTATTGTTAAATTTTAATTTGCAGATTTTTATTTAGATAATTTGTTGATCTCAGCAATTAGTCTTTCGCCATGTTTCTAAACCAGGATCAAATACATTTTTTGAGAGTACAAATTTAAACTAGCAAATTTAGCGTCTGTCCAACTGAAATATATGTATCTGTGTAAACAAAATTTTGCTATTAAAAATGTAATGTGACAAATGTATTTTCTAGACTCTTCGATAGTTTAGTGCTCATTTTTTGTTGTTGAACAAACAAAGTTGGGTACATTATTATTCGTACATTATTAGCGTTTAGTCTCGGAACGAGTACCAATTCTATACACTTAATTAGTAGAATATAATCATCATTATTATTTTTGCGCTGTCCCTGAACACTTGATGGAAAAAAGACACAAAATCTCTCTAGATCCACTCACACGGTTCATATACAAAACTAGCTTATTATAATATATCCTCGATTTCGCCTCTTACACGTTCGGTCTAGGGTCGTTATAACATACGTAAACTATACGTATATCCCTCTACCAGCGTGAAGATTAGAAAGATCGAATGCACATGATATTATACCTCTGCTGCAGTCAATACCCCTAAAAACGATGAAAGTCTCTCTGTAGGGTTCTAGGCCCATCACGGAGGAGAGGGAATGAGGCATGTAGAAAAAAGAAAAAGGCCTGACGACGACGCTGTGGGTTTATGCTCGAAAAAAAAACAATCATAATGATAATGATACCGGTTGATCGGGAGTAGAGTGTGCAAATATTTGCATTGGTCTCCAGATTCGAGATGCAGCGGGGCGATGACGATAGAGTAATAACTGGTATATGGGCTGCCCCTATTATGTGGTTTAAAGGGTAGGTTTTTCGGGAGTAGGTACCTGACCTGATCTTGCACTTTACCCAATAAATCCCAGGAATCTCCAGGAAATACTTGTGGGGTGGTGGACAGGGTCGTCGACACAGGAAGCAGGGCAAATAACATTGAAGCCAAACCTTCTAGGAAATACATTACTATTGTATTTGAATACTGCTGTAATCTTTGGCATTAACGACTCAGGAAGTGATGGTGTCTATGGGTGGTTAATATCCGCCCCAAATAGACCGAGTTTTGTTTCAAAATTTTAGATAAAAAAAACGCAAATTCCTAACACATATAATAAATCTTTTAAGCTTCTTTGAATACTGTATATGATAGTGATTTTTAGTACTGTACTATGACAAATTTAAATGTAAAATACTTGCAGTAATTTGACCTTGAATTTTTTTATTTCGTAGGCAGCGAACGCTAAATATGTAACAGATGTTCGTGTACTTAGTACACTGTAACAGTTGTGAGAAAGTTTCCTCCAGAGCACTAGGCCTTATGAAGGGTGGTAAGGGTCGATAATGTTAAATTATGGTCCATGACTCATTTTAAAACTGTCAGATTTTGTTTAATGATCAATAAAATTAAAGCCAAACATTTACTGAGTAATTTGAGACCAGAAATAAGTTTGTGACGTATTAACAACCCGAGTCATAAATCTTTTAATAAAAATATATTTCTAAACAGTTAAATTTAATATTGTTCTGAGGTTCGTAGCTGGTCTTTAACTCGTCTGATTTTAATGGTCAAGAGCTCAAATGAAAGCCCTTACATTACTGAATATTTTAAGCCTATAAAGAAATACAAGCGTCAATAAGAACTGGAGATATAAGAAAAATAGTTTAAACAAATTATCAAACTACGAAACGTCCATAAGAAATGTATGGTGGAGAGTATTCGTTTGAATATATCTTCTAAATGAATAAAGATATTTAAAAACGGATTTCGGCATTAAAATCAGTGTAAAAATTTAGTTGGTAATGATGTGTCACAACACTATTATTACATTGAAAAACATATCTATGTCCAATATGGCGGATCCAAGATGGCGGCCAAAAACATGTTTCCTATCAAAATGAAGTACTAACCACCCAATAAAAACAGGCGGTGGTCCCAAGTCAATATATCGAAAAATGTGCATAAGAAATGCATGTGAAATATGTTTTTTAGTTTGTCCAATGTTGGAAAAAGCCGCCATTTTAAATTCTGATTTTATTGGTTTTCTCGTGCACCAACTTTTGGCAACTTTTAGTATGTCATTCTGCAAACCCAACTTTACAAAATAAAACCATAAAACGTTTTCTTGCAATTTTTTTAAGGTCATATCCTATATTTCTCCGACTACTAAACTGAAAAAGGTTGTATGGATAATATTTTTGTACTATTGAGTGGATGGATTCTTATGTAAACATGCCTTGAAATCATATTAAGTGAGACTAATTCGTCAGCGTTTATGATTTATGAAAGCTACAGCGACAATAGGTGGAAGGTGGCCCCTGCAGTAGCCTATCTATAAAAGCTATAATGTATATACAAAATTATAATATCTATAAAAGATAATATAATAATAATATCTATAATATCTATCTATATATTGTAAATCCGTTGAACCTAATTATTGAGTTAGTTGTAAGTCAAAAAAGGTTAGCGAAGGTTTCAATTTGACTACCGGGGTGATAAAGGAAAACTCCGAGTCAGGCCTAATTCGGCAGCTTTACAAGTTTAACTAATCAAGAGTCTAATTTCGAGAAATGTTAACTTGCCACAACCAGAACTTTTAATTATAAGTTTTTTGAGAAGGTATTTTGCATTAGACTTTCATTTTAAAATGTACTTGATAACATCTATCATAAAAGAAAATTATGTTGTAAAATATTATTTAATATAAAACCTTAATATTTACAGTACACCTTGATATTTTTACAAAGAATATTTCATAGATACTTTAATATATTTTATTATAGATGTATTTTAGCCTGCTTTATTTGTTTTTCATAGTTATAAAAGTGTATTAGGTATGTTTACTTTTTAATTTCATATATTAAATACAATCATGATAATTATAATGTTATACGTCTATTCAATTAATGGGTACAACACATCTAAATGTAAATCTACATGGGGTCTAGATGTAAATTCATACATCGTTTGACGATCAATTGAAACATATCTAATATCTATCTATGCTATTCTTGCTTTAAGAAAAATATTTTCCTCCATTTGTGTATTTGAACATTTATTTTGTAAATGGCCAATATTAATAAGATTAAAATAAGGGTTGCATTCTTAAAGGGCAATATTTAGAATTGGATAGTTACTATGTCACATTTTAATTATCTGGTAAAATATCAACATCGAAGTAATTAAAAAACAAATATCACAGCTGTAAATGCATTCGGAAGCAATGGGACCCAAAAACTTAAACTTATAAATTAAAAGATTGATTTAAAGCTTTCAGGCAAAGGATTTTGTTACAATCCAAAATTTAACTTTACTGTTTATAGTCCTACTGTCGTATTTCGCTTGATGAGGGTTAGCCTATTTTACCCACGGGAAGTAGGTTAAACAATTTACCTGTCTGTAATTGGGCTATACCACAAACAAGCGGTTTGTGTGCTTGGGATTGTTTGAGGAAAGTTTAGTAAATATGCACGAATATATTTGGATTATTTATAAAAACTTCAGTTTGAAATAAAAATAATAAAACTGATTATTCGGTTTACTAACAGTATCATTTTCAACTAACGCAAAGATATTATCCAATGATGTTTAAATATTAACACCCTTTGATTTAAACTGCAATAATGTTAAACAATCTTCTAATAACTATCTTAAAT